GGTAGCATGGAGGGGGAGTCCCTTGCACTAGAGGAGAGGCTGGCTGGGTGTGCCGAGGCCTGGGCCCCAAGTGCGGGGAGGAGGGCCTGAGCCACAGAGGAAAGCTTCTGGGCAGGGGAAGGCGGGTCAGGGCCTCGCAGGCCCACAGCGGCTGAATGCCAGCTTCAGAGGAACCCTTGGGGCACCACCCGGGGTCCCAAGTCACAACAGAACCAAGCTGGAAGTGTGTGAGAAGGCCCAGCAGGCCTCTGCCCCCTGAGTGGCCACCGGTGGAGCCCAGCCACGAAGGGCCAGCGATTGAGAGCTGGGCACAGTCCTTTGCAGATGGTTAAACAACTTTCTAGCGCTGCTCTTCTCTTTGGGTTTTTATTTGTTCCCTCGTTTTAGAGCAGAAACAACTTAGCGAATTCAAGAGGCTGTTTGCTTACAGACCTAGTTTTGGTGGCAGGGCAAGGCTGGGGCGAGAATGTGGCAGTTCAGAGGGGCTGAAGGGGTCCTGGGAGAATGCTGTGATGAGAGGACTGTTCCCAAGGGTGCCACGAGACCAGGGCAGTGCGCCAACGGAGGTGGTCCCTTCCTGCAGGCCCGCGGAGCTCCAGGACTGTCATTCTTGCCCAGACAAGGCTTCTCAGCAAACCTAAGGCCCAGGCCAGGCCCAAGGGTTCCAGGAAGGTGTCATTCAGACTCATTTGGAAGGTTGGCAAACACACATCTGAATGTGCCACCAAGCAGGAGCCCCTCAAGCTTCCCAGTGCAGAGTGCCCTGTCCTGCTACCCCTGGGCATTGCAGCTCTGCCACCCTCCCTCTGTTCATGAGCAGGAGCAGGTAGAAGCCAGGGTGGCTGAGGGAAGGAAAAGCAGGTGCTTCAGGTCAGCTTTTAGAGAGGAGTTCCTGGATGTCCAGGCTTTATGACCCTGGCTCCCGTTTCCTCCTTCGACAGGAGCAGTGGACGGCTTCACCTGGTGCCAGGGAGGTGCAGCTGACAGAGACAGGTGTGAGCAGGTAACTGCTGGCTGCGCCAGCCTGTCCCGTGGCTGCCCAGAAGTTCCTAGCCTGGGTCATCCTATGGCTCTGGAGTCGGCGAAGAGGGCTCCTTCCCACAAAGCCAGTCTCGGTGGAGGAAGGAAACCTAGTCATCAGGTCCCACACGTGGCTGGCAACACAGCCCCCTGCCACCCGCCAGGCCCTGCTGTGTCCTTCTGTCATCACAGGGTGCCCTGCAAAACCTGCTGTTTGCTATTTGTCGGGCCGTTGCTTAGTGGGACTGACCAGGCGTAAATGCCAGATTCTCTCTGGACCCCAGCTCAGTGCACAGTAGCTGCTCAATAAACACGTTTGGATCATGATTGTGATTTGCCTTGTCCATCTGAGTCTTACAAGCCTTGCAGCCAGCATCGCCAGGCTACAACCAAGATGACAGTGGCATAGAGAGCGTGAGTAATAAGCAGCGGCCACAGGAATGCAAGCAGGGCCTGAGAACGGGGCCACAGTCTGTCTGGCTTCAGGCACATGCTCTCGGCCACCTTGGAACTCTGCCTTTCGTGCAGGGCCCAGACTGGGAGGGTAAGCCACCTCTGTCCTCCAAGCTGCTTCTGCACAAACTCTGAAGGAAGAGCCTGCAGATGGAAGGCTGATCCCACAAGGTGGCCGAAGAGCCCCCAGATTCCCATTGCGGGTCTCCTGCTGTGCAGCCCTGAGTAGGTCACATGACCCGGGTGTCTGGCATTTTCCTCACATCAGAAAGCCCTGACCTAGCCGTCCCATGGCCGCGATGGTTTCTCTAGGCCCCTGAACTGCCTGCAGTATCACCATACAGCTGCGTCCTAGGCAGGGAATGTGGTGCCGACCATCCGTCTGTCCGGGGCCTTCCTTTGGACACCACTGGCCCTTCACCCTACACTCCAGTGGATATCAGAAGTCACCATTTCGGAGGTCTTCTTCTTCCTCCCCATTTGGGCACTCTCTGGGAACAACGTGGCATGCCCAGAGCTGGGTAACTAGAGGGACAGGGTGCAGACCAATGTGGGACCTGCAGGGCTGGTGACCAGGTGGTGCAGAGCAGCTCCTGCCCAGTCCTGCTCCAGACCCATTGCCTGCGCTCTCTCCTTGGGAGCAACACAGGCTGTTTCATGGACTTTCACGGAGAGGAGACGGTGGGCAAAGGAGGGCCTGCCACTTTCAGAAAGGAAGCCACCACCACTGAACACAAGGCAGAAAGAGCTCCTGGCTGAGACACTGAGTCGCCACAACACCGCTGGACGGGGAGCGTGAGTGGACGTTCTCCAGCACACGCTTGGAACCCCAAACGCCTGGGCTCTCAACCAGAAGTCCAGCTCTGGGCCTCCAACAGTGTCCAGGGCAGAAAGAGAGGATACAGAGCAAGGTCAAGAATCCTGCAAAGCTGGCAGAGGTTTGAGGACCATGGTCTCACTCCCTGTATTGTACCAGATAAAGGACATGCAAGCAACAGAGAGAGGGGCATGAAATGCCCATTGTTCCCAGCAGGGTTGCTCTGTCAACATGCTCTGTTACCTTCTGGTGACACCACCTCAGCTTGGGGGGAGCCCAGGGATTTGCTCAGGATCACAGAAGACAGTGAACCAGCCCCCAGTGCCAGATCTGCCCCTCCGAAGGCCATGGTCTCCCTCCCGGATGCGGTGTCCATGCTTTCCCAGGGTGACCTCCAGGTATCCACTGTGAAAAACCACCCAGCCCACAGTGCCAGCTGAGCCAGCCCAGCTCAGGGCTCACCCCCCCATGTCCTGGAACCTACTCTACTTTTCTCTCTCTTCTGCTCAAGCTTCTGGGGGTGGGGAGGCCCCTAGAAGGTTCAGGGGAAGGAGCTGCCACTTCTGACCTGTGACAGCATCTTGTTTCACCTCTTTCAAAATATAAAAAAGACCTGTCTTTGGTAATTCTCGTCTGAGGGAGTAGAAAAATTGTGTGCCTACTTGTATGTGTGTGTGTGTGTACACATGTGGTGTCATGGGCATGCCACACATGGACATGTGTGTGTGTGCTATAGGTGGATGCATGAGTGTGCATGCTGGAGCAGGGATGTGTTCAGCAGTGGGGAGCCTCTCCCACTTTAGGGAGGCTGTTACGTTCTGGTGAGGTCACAGGTGCAGGGTCCTGGGAGTCAGGGAGCCTGGGTCTAGTGCTGTATCTGCCACTGACCAACTGCCGGGCACTGGTGAAGTGAGAGGGGCTGACCGCCTGCCCGTCCTGTTCCACATTATCTGAGACCATTAGGAGGCCAGGTGGGGAAGGGGTGCCTACTTCTCATTTCACCTGGTCTGGCCGGGGACCTGTGAGCGGGAGGGAGGCTCTGCGGCAGGTCTGTCAGGTGGAGGCACGTCCCAGAACCACAGGCCTCCTCCTGGCCTACTCTCTGCCTGTCTGGGGCATCTCTCCCAAGCTCCCTTGAGAAGAGCAAGGTGAGACCTGGCAGCTGCAGGGCTTCCCTGTGGTGTCCGGCTGAGGTTTGGGAGTGATTTCCTCACCATGGCTTTGGGGTGCACTTTAGAGGGCTAATATAAAAAAGACCTGTCTTTGGTAATTCTCGTCTGAGGGAGTAGAAAAATTGTGTGCCTACTTGTATGTGTGTGTGTGTGTACACATGTGGTGTCATGGGCATGCCACACATGGACATGTGTGTGTGTGCTATAGGTGGATGCATGAGTGTGCATGCTGGAGCAGGGATGTGTTCAGCAGTGGGGAGCCTCTCCCACTTTAGGGAGGCTGTTACGTTCTGGTGAGGTCACAGGTGCAGGGTCCTGGGAGTCAGGGAGCCTGGGTCTAGTGCTGTATCTGCCACTGACCAACTGCCGGGCACTGGTGAAGTGAGAGGGGCTGACCGCCTGCCCGTCCTGTTCCACATTATCTGAGACCATTAGGAGGCCAGGTGGGGAAGGGGTGCCTACTTCTCATTTCACCTGGTCTGGCCGGGGACCTGTGAGCGGGAGGGAGGCTCTGCGGCAGGTCTGTCAGGTGGAGGCACGTCCCAGAACCACAGGCCTCCTCCTGGCCTACTCTCTGCCTGTCTGGGGCATCTCTCCCAAGCTCCCTTGAGAAGAGCAAGGTGAGACCTGGCAGCTGCAGGGCTTCCCTGTGGTGTCCGGCTGAGGTTTGGGAGTGATTTCCTCACCATGGCTTTGGGGTGCACTTTAGAGGGCTAACGAGCTCCCCGCTCCAAACCAGCTCTTCTTTTGTCTCTCTACACCAATCAGAGGCATGGGTCAGGGCTGCTCTAAACCCATGCCAGGGACTTAGAAAAGGAGGGGTCAGGAACAAAGAGGGTCTGCTCTGATGCCTTTCCTATGAGACTCAAGGTGGTTAGGGACCCTGGGCATTTGGAAGGTTTCACACGTGGGGGAGGGGCGCAGAGGTACCAGAGCTGGTTCAGAGGGTCACCCAGTCCCTCTGCGGGTTGGGAGGTGCAGCAGCCAGTCACCCCCACTACCCTCAGGGCTGACCACCTGCCGACATGGGGACACAGAAGGGCTGACAAGGTGAGCGCCGCCCCGCCCCCCGCACCTGCCCCTGGGCCAGGAAGCTCGGCGGGTTCCCCGAGGCCCCTCTGTACTCTCCGTGCGCGGGGACCTGTCCCGCGGGTCTGCCACCAGCTCCGGGGCGTCTGCTCTGGGGGTCGCTCGCGGGAAAGGAAAGACTTCACGCTCTAGCCTCCCAGCGGACAAACTCAGTCTGTTCGCGTTTGTCACAAAGAAAGCTCTGCCCATGAAACCGGAAAAATAGCCCCTTCTGAGTCGCCCCTTTGCACCCGGGCCCGGGGCGCGGGGCACCTGCCCGCAGAGCCTCGCCGCGGCGGCCGAAGTTGCTGGAGGCCGCAGCCCGGACCCCGACGCGCGGACGCGACTCTCGCCGGGGACCCCGCGCCTGGCCCCGCACCCGCCGCCGCGGCGACCCCCGCGCCGTCCCGGGGAGGGACCAGGGCGCGCGCGCAGCGGGGAGCACGGCAGGGTCGGGGGGGAGGGGGTACCTTCTGAATGCGCCCATCGATGTCCAGGTAGATGGCCTTGGGCCGGTAGCTGGAGGAGCCGGATCCCATCTTGCGCTGAGCGGCGGCACTTGGACTTTTTACTGTACTTCCCGACGCCAGCCGCCGGGGGAGGGCGGGCCGCGGGAGGAGGGGGTGGCGGGGGCGGTGCGGGGACGGCGGGGCTCAGCCAACCGGAGCGGCCGGCGCGCCGAGCCCGCTCCGCGCCGCCCCCGGCTCGCTCCGCCTCCGGCCACCGCCCCCTGCGCGCCCCTCCCTCCCTGCTCCCTCCCCTCTCCTCCCTGCTCCCTCCCCGCTCTCTCCCCCACCCCCTTCTCCTCCCTTTCCACATTAAGGCACACCCCCACTTCTTCCGTTGCATCCCAGCAGCCCTGGGGACGGGCCAAGTGAGCCAAGTGCCCGCTGGGCTGGTGCCCAGAGCGAGCGACCCCCTCTGGCTGCAGGACTGGTCACCTCCCCATATGACTAGATTCCCATAGCGACCCCCTCTGGCTGCAGGCTGGTCACCTCCCCAGGAGAACAGTTGCCTATAGCGACCCCTATGTGCCCAGGTGGCTAATGAATTATGAGTGAGCACCTGGCTGTCATGGGGGCCTTGAGCTGTTTGTGGTCAGTCCCCAACCCCTGGCATCACTTAGCACTGGGAAAACCCCCTCGTTTCCACCTCTCCCTGTGTGATTGTCATCTTCATTTAATTTGAATAGGAAGTGGGGAAAGTTCCTTCTCATTCATGCACATCCTTCCTCTAAGTTTTCTGCACCTTCTCAGGAGTGACAGCCTCTTCTAGCTGCACCGGAGCTGAAATGGCAATTTTATTTCTGTCGTCAGTGTGGCGGGGTGAGGATTACCCAGCGGCGGGCTGTTTGCTGGTTTCAGCACTGTCCTGGTGCCCACCCCCACCCCCTAATTGCTTCAGGGAGTGTGGGAAAAGGAGGGAAAAAAGGAGGGCTTCCAGGCAGCTCATGACATGCAGATCACAGTGGGGGCTGCCTCTGCGGCTCCCCAGTTCTCTCGGGGCTCTTCCAGCAGAACAAACTGGGGGAGGGCTTGTAGATGTTGGATGGCTCTCAGCTCCTGGTGCTGAAACCAGCTGGAGAAAGCACTTATTCTTTCGTTCTAAGTGAGTTCCAAGCCACTGCTTTCCATCTGTTGAATGTCTGGGCTTTGCTTATTGAGAGAGTGCCTGGTGCGCACAGGCTCCTCCTGCCCTCCAGGCCTGCCCGAGCTAGGCTGACCGCTGCCATGGTTGACAGTCACTGCCTCCCCTCCCTGGCCATCCGGCTTCCACCTGGTGCAGCTCCTGGCTTTCCAGACCCCTCCAGGCCACTTAGAGTCCTGGGGAAGGCCGGGCTGAAGTGGGCTTCCTAGCCTTTGGACAGTCCAGCACATGTCACTTCATGTCCCCTGCCTGCTCTTGATGCCAGGGGTGGGTGGGTGGGTGAGGGTTGGCTCTCAAAGAATGATGATGCTTTGTTCTCAGCTCCAGGACAATGAAGGGACCACGTCAGAGACTGGGCACCGGGAGATTTACTTTACAAGTGGCTGGCAGTGACAAGGGGGCCTTTGAGGTTTGGGTGGAGCCCAGCTGGGTGGTTACCATGGCCACGTGACTCATAGTTGTGATAATGTACCCCCAGATAATTGGAGCAAGCACTATTGTTATAGTTCAGTTTTGCTGTCGAATGTTCTAATGCTCTTTGGGCTGGCCTGTGACTGATCTATTGGGGCTGGCATGCTGCCTGGCATGGAAGTCTCACTGCCTGGCAGATGGCTTATCAGCTTGGTAACTTCATTTATTCCCCACGTCTTACTGTCATCTGACCCAGTCCTCTCAAATCATCTTCTAAAGCCCAGGAAAGACAAACGCCCAAACATGGTGTACAGCTCTGCAGAGTCATTCTCTGTGGTCGGTAGGATGTGGTTCTGTGACTGTGTGTCCAGCCCCATGTGGGACGGGCCTCCTTACTCTGGCTGGCCGATTCTGTATTCAGAACGACCTCTCCTGTAAGTAACTGGTGGAGTAGACTGCCGTGTGGATGTGCAATCGATGAGATGGCAGCATTGCCTCTGAGAGGAGCCCTCTTCTCACCGGGTCCCCTCTGGGGCGGTGGTCTCACATTCGTTAGCCCTTCCCTACCGGGCGTGGGTGCTATTCTAAGCACTGGGCATTCAGTGGAGAATAAACCCAAATCCCTGTCCTGGAGGAGCTGGCATTTTAGTGGGAGACAAATGAGATGAGATAAATATAGCATGTGTTGGATGAGAATTAGTGCAAAGTGGAAAGTCATGGGGGAAGGAGATACACAATGCGGAGGATGAGAGCTGACATTTTAGGGAAGGCGGCCAGGCACCGGCATGTGGGATAAAGACCTGTAAGAGTCAGGTGAGGGGGCAGGGAGCATGCGAACCGAAGGAAAGAACCTTCTAGCCAAGGGAGCAGCCTCATGCCAAGGCCCTCACAAAAGAGGCCAGCGAGGCAGGAGTCGGGGGAGGGCGTGTGCACATGGGGGCCATGGTGGGTGTGAGGTCAGAGGTGAAGGGGCAGCGGCCCCATGAGGCCATACAGGTGACCTGGTTCCATGCTTTCAGATGTGAGCCATGCAGGGGCTGAGCAGAGGAAGGATGGGAGCAACTGTCCTTTTAACAGGATGACGCTGTGGCAGGACCAGCCAGGAGGCTGCCTGGCCACTGTGCAGAGGAGGCCACATGGGGGTGAGAAGCGGCTGGTGCTGCATCCCACCTGGAGACTCGTCAGGTCTTTCCCTTCTGCTGCCTAAGTGACATCATCTCTGCCATTTGCTCCTGCCTAATTCCCAGCACCTTCATCCTAGATTGCCCGTGGGCTAAGGTTCCACGAGCCAGCCCCTACTCTGCACACCACACCGGCCCAGGGGATTGCTGGCGTCCTTGACCCCTGTCCCCGATCCTGGCTTGGCCACTTGGAATGCAGCCTGTGTAAGTTCCCAGAATCAAGATAAAAATTAAAGAAACTGCCTGCTCTGCCAGGTGGGCAGGGGCCAGGATGAGGGGCCTGCCTAGAGCAGAAGGCTTGTAGGTCTTGTGGGAACTTGGGGACTGAGTTCATATAGTCCCTGCAGGAGTGACAGCAAGGGAAGTTTCCAAGTGTCTGGGATGTCAGAGTGTGGGATCCTGCCCGAGTCCCACTGGAAAGGAGGTGGAGGTGTGGGAGGTCCCAGAGGTGCAAAGCCATGGGCTCCTCAGAGCCAGGCCGGGTCCATCCTCCACTCTGGCCCCTGGACCACAGTGCCTGGACTAAGGACTGTGGTTTCTTCTGGCACCGTACAGCTTGCACATGGCTACTCCTGTGCTTAGAGCTCATTCTTTAATTGCCACAGAGGCTGCACCAAAGGAGAAATTCAAAATAAGACATCAGAGCCAAACTGAAGATCATGGGGGTGCTGAACTGCACTAGCTCTTGGCCTCCGGCAAGCAGGGGTGAAGCCACGGTGAGGAGGATGACGCGGGTCTACCCTGTGCCCAGAGCAGGCAGCTTCCAGTAGGGATGCAGAGGGTGGGCAGGAAGTTCAGGACACTCAGGAAGGGTCTAGAGGACATTCCAGTGGTGCACGGGGATGTTCGTCCAGAGGGCTGGGGCCGGGCCAGCAGGGCACCTTCCCTGGCAGCCGCAGCTCCCAGCATCTGTTCCAGCAGTGCCCCGGACGGGGTGTGCCAGGGGGATGGGAGGCAGGCTGACACTGGTCCAGTACCGAGGGCATCCTCTGCCTGCTCTCTGCTGGGTCTACCTGGTGTTTTTAATGACTACTCTGAAAAGGCCCAGTTGCTGCCTATACTGACTCTTTGGAACCAGGGTGGGGTAGGGGGACAAACTAAATTTGTTTAATAAACAAAATATGTTAGTGCCAACTACATATGAGGCACTGAGCAGGCCTTATAAGGGGGGCCTGGAGCACCCTAGGCCCATGAAAAACACTATGAGAGAGGATTAAAAGAAATAACTGGGTTGGAGGTAAGATGCTTTGCATTCTGAAAGTTTTACCATTGGCCTCTGGGAGGAATCAGCGTGTTTCACATGTATTTAATGAACCAAACACCCCATAAGCTGCTCTAACGCTCTTGGAAAGCCGCTTGGCAGGATGTGGGGAGAATTCAAGAAAGGGTATGCCCTTTGAGCGGCTCGTCCCAAGCTTTAGTGCAGAGGGAGAAAACTCGCCCAAGACTGCCCTCTGCTATGCCAGTTTCAGCAGTATTTGATTTATGCTCACATCACCTGTTTCTTGCTATGGTTTGGTAATTAAAGTCATTACTAGTTGTAACTGTTTCAAACAATGCAGTAGGAAAAGCAAAGTCCCAGCCAGATCAGAAAGTGGAGATTCATCCCCTTGGAAATTGGTGGGTCTCAGAGGTTCTCTTACCTCTGATCTATTTAGCCCTTTTCATGTGATGGGTGTTGAGATTTTCCCGATATTTTGTGGTTGTAAACAATGTGAAAAAAAAAAAACCAAGACCTTATACATCCTTTGGTAGTTGTGCTGCTCTTCTGTGGAACTGGTTTCTGGAAGTATGCTTTCTGGGTAAAATTGTGTGGACATTAAAATTTTTGATTTTGCTGACATGCCCTCCATGCTGGGTTTATCAATTTAGGCACTCACCATCAGAAAACCAGAGTAACCTAACACAACACTTTCAACGAATAATATAGACAAATCTTTATATTTTCCAATCTAATAAGAGAAAAAAAATCTTGTTTTAATTTGCATTTCTGTGTTTACAGGTGAGGTGAGACATATCTCCCGTTTTTTTGCCATTTGTGTTCCTCTGCTGCATTAATATTCTTTGCCCCTTATTGTATTTTTTATTTATTTTAATTTATTTTATTTTGGTATCACTAATCTACAATTACATGAAGAACATTATGTTTACTAGGCTCCCCCCTTCACCAAGTCCTCCCCATAAACCCCATTACAGTCACTGTCCATCAGTGTAGTAAGATGCTATAGAGTTACTACTTGTCTTCTCTGTGTTGCACAGCCCTCCCCGTGCCCCCCCCACATTATACATGCTAATCGTAATGCCCCCTTTCTTTCCCCCCCCGACTTATCCCTCCCTTCCCACCCATCCTCCACAGTCCCTTTCCCTTTGGTAAC